GCTTCCTTTCCTTACGGAGATAGGAGAGAGGGAGAGAGAGAGAGAGAGAGAGACGCGGTTAGGTACGCGGCGATTTACATATCGCGCATGTCGGCCCACTTGTCTCCAGGCATTTTGCCTGCACGGCATCGAATTACCCCGCGAAAATCGGGGGCGCCTGCTGCTGCTACTTCGCCGTGAAACGCAGAAAGAGATATCTCGATAACACGCGCGCACGCGGTTACGTATACTGGTGAAAAGAAGGGCTCGACAAGAGTTCGATATCTTCGAACGCTTCGTTGACAATCCTGACACCGCACGAAATGCAGTAAAAGAAGTATTGAACAAAATCTCAAAATTATTAAAAATCATTCGTACAATTATTATCTTATTGTCCAGTGGAAAAATTACATTTATAAATTAAACTAACTGTTATGAGAAATAAAAAAATATTGTTACATCGATACGTTAGAATTCTCTGGATTCTATCTGGCTACGCTAATGAGTAATTTAGATTTAAATACGCGACGAATAGAAACAAAAATGAAAATAATTTCCTTTCTCGAGACTTCTTTCCACCACGTGCGTACGTATATATCGGGAGATAACAGTGTTCGCGTTTGGAACGAAGAGAGTTAATATAGGTAGGAAAGATCGTTTCCGTTTGAGAGGTCTGTTCGATACGATCGGATGTATCGAGTTATCGTATATACAGGGGAACGAGGCTATTAGAGTACATAATTCGGTCGTAAAGGAAACGCGATATCGGGGTCAGAATGGCCCTAGAACGAAGGCCTATGCGATGGCTCGCGTCACTCGAAACGGGAAATAGAGTTTTCACCGCGAACGTTGGTCCATCGGGGCCATTAACCGGGCCACCGATCGTACGTTGCGAACGTAACTGCCTGCCTCCGATCTTGCCCCCTTCCCCTGCAAACCTGCAACCGGTTGAGTGGATATATATCCCAGGAGGAGCGGGAAAAGGGGATCGAAGAAGGATCGTCGATCGATTTTATCCCCATTAAATACTCGAATTTACGTTTCGCGTTCTAGAGGCGATCGGTGTTTTTATCGCTCGTGAAAACGGTTTCAGTAACACGTGGCCAATAACGCTTCTCTTTTTTTTCTTTTTTTCGTAAGAAGGAACTGCGTCCCGAGGAAAACGGTATCTTCTTCGATCCTCGCAATGCGGAGGATAATTCTTTTTCTCTCTCTTTTTTTTTTCACGCAACGCGCGGAATCGAGAGTGTGATAAAGAATCGGATACGATAAAACGGGGGATTACAGAGAGAGAGGGATAAACGATCGTTACCCCTCGATCACTTTTCGAGGCATCGATCAGCGTTCATAGAATGCTACGCGGGTATCGAAACGGCCGTAAACCTCCGCCACCTTGCTCACCTGCTGCGTTAGTGGCTGCCTGTTGCCTTAACGACGCTGCGCGGACAGGTAGTGAACGAGAGTAACCGTTAAACTATCGAGTTTATCGCGCAGAAGATCGTAAAATCCGGCACGGGTATCCTGTACGGGCTCCCGATTTTCAACTCCGGCCCTCGCTCCCCCGACACGAGCGATGAATCATAGCGATCGAGGCCGAAATTTGCCCGCCTCTTTTCTTTTTTCTTTTTTTTTTTGTAACATTATTCTCTGATCGCGAGAAGAGATAAACGCGGTCGAATTTCTCTGTTCAGGAAGTTTCCCTTCCGACGATCCCTTTATTTCTTCGACCGTTGGCTTCCCGACTTGGCGAAATTTTCACCAAGTCGTCCAGGGACGCGTGAATTTGGCCGTGAGAAAGTGGACGGGATGGGACAGAGAAGGGTACAGGTGCGGACAAGCCGCGGTCGGTCGGAGATTTATCGGTGGACGATGGAGGATTTGTAAACTCGCGTAGCTTGGAAACGATTATCCGAAAGAGGCGATGGTTCAGAATCCTTTCTCATCCTTTCCTCTCATCCCAGACGGTCGCTCTTTCTCCTCGTATTATCAACTCCCACGCCCCACGATCTTTGCGCAAGAAAGGAAGAAAGGAAAACTTTTCCTCGAAGCTTGGTAAATGGATGAAATGGTTTGCGTACCAGTACGTAGAGATAGAGATAATTAACTCGATGGTCGAACAACTGGCCAACGATTTCTTTCGATCCCAGATGGCTGCCCTCTTCCTCGTCATATCGACCACTTAAACGGCCTGACTTTGCCGCCCGACTTAAGCCGCCTGGGGAGCTTGCTTCTGCGAATCCAGCGGAAAGAAGCCTCGAATGTTCGGTTCGAAGACGATTTCTTGCAAGATTCCAAGAATTGGAATAGCTCGAGTGGGCAAAAATGCGGACGCTTTAAGTGTCCAATATCCGGTGTCAACTCGCGGATCGATCTTCGAAACGAGCTCCCTTCCAACCACTTCGATAAAATCAATTGTACGAAAGAGAAAGAGTATCCGATGAGATGATTGGAACTAGTAATGCCAAAATAGCACGCTCGAAACTATGTATTTTTCCTCTTTCTTTTTTCTGATGAATCTCTTCGAACACGATTTATACGTTGAACGATAAAACGGTTAAAAGATTTTAAAATTATTCGCTTGAAGGATGGACAGAGAAGGGAAGCGCGTTTATAGGAAGATAATTAGCACGAGTGGCAGTTCGAACGTCAAAGAACGAGATCTCTCTGTCGGGGAAAACAGTGTCCAGAGAGGTTGGAGATCAAAGCGGGAGTACGCTGCAATTGTTGGCCTCCTCTGTCGCAACGGGAAGCAAAGTCGGAGTCTCTCGAATTATTTATGCCCTCGTTTTCGAGGGGAAAGGGGGTGCGCAATGAATGCGCGCAACGGACGATCGAACGGGGTTGCGCTCGAAGACGTTCGGAAGGGCCGATAATTTGCTCGGTTTCCAACCATCTCGGGCGTAATTTAACTTACGGAGGGCCGACTGGAGCGGCAGCTGTGCCCCAAAGGTTGCGGACACGGGACCGCAGAGTCACGATAAACTCTCATAATTCACCGAGGCGATATCCTGGTAAGGCGTATAAAGCCGTCGGTAAAGCGCGTCGGGGAAATTTCGTATTGAATCGGAGAATGCCCGTTTCGTAACATTCGTGTATATGTATATATATATATATATTACACGCGGGTATATACGATTATTCATGCTCGACCATTGTACGTGCTCGACGCGGGATCTATCGCGCGCGTCGTAATATTCGTCGGGGACGGACAACAGATGGAAATTTTGATACACGGCGCGCAGCCAGCCGGCAGAGTAATGAGTTCCATGTGCGTGAAATTCCTTTGAGTGGAAGAAGAGAGAGAGAGAGAGAGAGAAAAAGAAAAAAAAATTAGTGGAAAAGAAAGTTGTCGAGCGTGCGCCAATAAGCGAGAATAGGAAACTCTCGCTCGTTGAATGGAATATCGTAAACTCGAGAGAGGAATCTTTTTTACAAATTTCTTTCTTTCTTTTTTTTTTCCTCTTTTTTAAATCGAGATCGTTCACGCAAAGATGGATCGCGAGTTGATTCCACTTTTGGATGAAAGCGATCGTTGTATCGATAACCGTGGAGGGGGCGAGCGTAATGATCCGGCGGTGGATCGATCCATATTGTTGTTGTCGGTTTCCTAATTGCGAACTGTTTCACCGTGGAATAGGCGCGACGCGCAATCCGGCATTGGCGATGGTCGGTGACGGTGGTGATGGTGGCGGTGGCGGCGGCGGCCGCACAATAGATTCGGTTTGATGCATCGCCGGGGCGCAGGAGACCGTTAATTTCGTGCCCTCCTGGGCCGCGCCGCTCCTACGCCAACCGTCCGATTGCCCTTCTGCCCGTCCACCGTCGTTCGCGTTAATAACTCATCCAAGTAAATAATAGTGTTTGCCAAGATGGACCTCGGCAGAATCCCCCTCCTAGCCAACCCCCAGTTTGTCACCACCGAGATTCCATACCATCGATCGATTTCGCCCCGTTAATACACGCCGCACTCCGTTTATCCCGTTAATGTTATCTCGATCCATTGTTACGAATTTGTAAACGATCTCTATCGATCGTACTCGAATCGATGGAAGATGATCGATTTGGAACCGTGGACACTCTCGAGTGTCTGTGGTCGAAGAACCGAACGCTCGTTCAAAAAGTTGGACGAATCGCGGATTTCGGAACGTAATTTAACCGCGTTTGAAGAGGGATGACGCGTTTACTTTGCGCCCAGAGAAATTATCGTAGCGTGTGCTCGATAATAGGTTTAATTGGGAGGAACGACGTGTGCGTACGTCTAATGTTTACTTTTGCTTATCTCGATCTCGGTGGAGTCGTCTCGGAGAGAGAAACGACGGCGCCTATTGATTGTTGGACAGAAGAAGCTGAGGCTGACGTGTTGTTCGGTTTGTTCCAGAAACAATGCGAACGTGGACGCCCCGGCCGCGGTACCCCCTCAGAAGAAAGAGCCGCACGAGAACATCGCCCGGATAGCGAAGCGGTATCTCGACGATAACATGCAGCAGGCGTGGATCAATCCTCGTCTAATATCGATGGTGAGTGAATATAAATGCGGTGATTACACGGTACGTTAGACGATGATACCGGTGCCTAACGTTCTCACGTTCCAATCCTGGCAACGATCCATTATCCCTCCTCCTCCCTCCTCCACGCACGCGCTCGGCTGTAATTTCAACCGGACAACAAATTAGCCCCTCCGCGAGCAGGCGAACGAGTCGACAAGTTTTTGCGATAATCTCGCTTCGCGCCGACTGTCGAACGAGACGAGGGGATTTAATTGCGAAATCCCGACCGAGCTTGTTGATCGGGATCGACTCTCGTCCGCTTTTCCGCCATTTTCCGCCATTTTGAATTCCCAACCAAACACTTTACCGATTTCGAACAACCTTTCCTCTCCTCTCCAGTCCGCTCCTCGTAGTCGCTTCTGTCCCTCCCAGCGAGTATCTGTATACATATATATATATCGAATACCGCGAGAATAAAACTGGCGGGCAACGTTCCTTCCCCGTTAAATTCCACCGCAACTGGATTGGACCGCGCTTCAGACTCGAATCAGAACCGAGGATCGGGCGCTTCAACGACTAATTTAACTTAGCGCGCGTGTTGGAACCGCGGGTTCGTTGGCTCCTTACTTATCGCCCGTTTCACGTTCCACGAAGTTGAACTCGCTTCGATCTCGGAAAAGGAAAGCGTCGAAATTGGAAAATTTGATTTGGGGGACAGGGGTCCAGCTATTTATTACACGGCCGCGCTAGAATTTTCATCGGAACGGTTATTGAAATTCCGCACCCGCACCATTCCACTTTGTACTGCGATATATATATATATTCGGATGACGGGATGCGGCAACAGAGCCGTGTTTATATATCGGCGTTCACGCTGGACTTGGCCGCGTGGAGAACAGCAAGTAGAACGGAGCGGACGAGTCATTAAAGCGAGCCAATAACAAACTCGTGATCCGCATAACCCTTCGTTATGTCCACACCGGTTATTAGCCCATGCCTAGGCGGCGAATCATCGCTGTTGCGCCGATCCTTTCGTAATCCCAACTCGTTATATTCTCTCTCTCTCTTCTTCCCCTCGATCTTCTTCTCCGCCCTTTTTATATACACCTTTTCCATATACCTTTTCCTCGCGTTCCCAACTTACGTAACCTCTCCTCTCCTCGCGCTCGATATAATTCGATCTTGCAACTCGCAGTGGCGTAACATCGTGCATGTCGATATTCGAATATCAATTTCGCGTTACTATCATTATTATTATTTTTCTTTTAATTACTTCCTCTCGTCAATGGAGAAGAATTGGATATGTTGCGTTAACAGTAAATAGAATTCGCCTCGTCACCGGAGGTGGAAAGTCACGAAACGCATTTC